CCACGTTTTTTGCTCTTTGGCGCAAACGCTTTGAAAAGGGTGTCTGGGTGTCTCGTAGCTGAGCTGCTGCAAGCTCTTGTTGAGTTTGCGTTGAGTCTTCATCCTGTAGAGCTTGTGTTTCGGCATCTCCGGACATTGGAAGGTGCTGTGCGGGGCTCGTTTGTTCATTGGAGTCGAAATCATCGCCTGTAAATCCTTCATGCTAATAACTACACATTAAATTGTCACTCCAAGTTGATTCGGGTGCTTTAAAAGCATCTTTTTCCTAGTTGGAGTGCGTGTAAAGTGCAGTGCCATCGAATCTGGTATTTGTTAGTTTCCATCACAAACTCCAGTAATCTGAGAGGTAATGCAACTCACGAAAACATGTTTTCCGATCTTTCCGAAACCTCAAAGGACCGCGAAAATGTTTGTTTTTAAATCTTAAGTATAAGTTTAGGCTTAAAAGCCAAAACCGTCCAGCAGAGATCGAAGATAATCGCCGTTTTTCGGTCATTTCACAGTTGAAGACACAAGTTTTCGTCGACATTGTGTCTGTAATTTGCTGCTTCGCTGTGTATCACGCCTACCTCTGCAATAACATTCTTGTTTTGATCTACTGCCTCGCGCCATTAATCATTGCGATAAACTCCGCAGAGTTACGTGTCTGTGTGGGGGCCGGGCGCGTGCCTACTGTCTCCTTTTTTTTCAGCCCTTCATGCTGCAGCAACCAGATCTCTCGTAGGGATTATTTCGATAGAATCGTTTAATGGCAATTTGAGTTTCCTTGCATCAGTTGTGATTGGTCATGTGCGTATTTGGTTTGCCCGCAATAGGGAGATAATAGCCCAATGGGAGCGCAGGCTAGCGGTGATTCGTCTATGAACGACGCGGACCCGAGCTACGCCAACATCCTCTCCGGCGAGGTTGTCCAAGGCGTCCAGCACACAGACCAATCATTTGACTTCCCCATGTCCCACCTACACCCCCTTTCGTCCGCGGAGAGAGCACAAGTGCAACCAGCGGTGGCGGCTGCCGGAGCGGTCTCCAATCTTCCCTTCCCCGATCCTCCCCGTCTTCCTAATCTTTCAGGTTGGTTCCACGTTCCACCGCCTAACTCGTGGCCTAGTAGGGCTCTCTCAGTGTAAGAACTCCACGAGGCATTGCAGTTAGTCGATGTCCTGCCGCGGGAAAATCAAAATGACGTCTAGAGTCTTGTGTCACCGCGTGAATACACAAAGATTAGGCATTGCGCGTAGGTGGCTTAAGCAAATCACGCGCCAATTCAGTGCACCCGCCATAGTGACATTTCTGCTCACACACACACAAATGCTATTTTATTGACACGTGTTCACCTGCAATCCCATAACACCTCTAGTAGGAGTCGATTGTCAGTTTTGATTGGCTGAAACCCCTTTGGTGTAGTCAGTCGGACCAATCACGGTTTCCCCGAAATGAATGATTTTTAAAAATCAAACTATCATATATCTGGGAGAAACAGCAACACTTAATTGGCATTACTTGGTTAAATCTGACAAAACTTAATGCAATTAACGACGCGCCGTAGACTCGTCAACTTAACTCCGCAGATGTGAACTCACAATTCCTCCGCATCAGGTTCCTTTAACTGATACCACCTACAGCAGCGCAGATATACGCCTCGTGCTGTGGAACCAGCAGAATAACCGTCAGTTATTATCTGTAGATGTGGCATGAAATTAACTCGGTCTTCTGGACCCCGAAATTTCACTTAAAAACGCATTTTTCGACCGCATTCGAGTTGATTTTGTGTTCCCCGCCACCCTACGCTCTGGTGTTTTCGACTCGAATCATTGTAGTGTCTTGTGGCTAGCATGGAAGAAGTGTAGTGTAGGGATTTCGAGGGGCCTGTCTCCTAATTGGTTGTGGGTTTCGGGATGTAAAAATGAGGTCAAAATGAAGAAGACTGCGACAACTGAGTTATTGGCCGAGAATTAGTTTGGTTCTCTACAAATTAAACAACGAGGAATTTTATTGTTGCTTCAGTTGATTCAATCCAGAACCCATGGGGTCTTGTCCAGACCGACAACTTCCCCGTCCCCCTTCCCACAGCGACGCCGGAACCTCCTGCGCCGCCGTCGGCCGTCCAACTTCCGCATCGGCAATCACAGCAGCAGCAGCAGCAGCCCGACGCCGTCAATTCCCACCGACAGCCTATCCGTCCGTCGGTGCGTCCCAAGTCGGGCTCCACGAAAACCGGCCACCAACAACAACATCAGAACTTCCCGACGCTCAAGACCCAGCGCATGATGCGTGAGCCGCCCCCCTCGCTCGGTGTGTCTCCGAGCATTGCTATTTCCGGTGGTGGTGGAGGCGGCGGTGGTGGTGGCAGCGGTGCCAGCGGCAGCCAATCCGATGTGGCTATGGCTGCCGGAGGCGTCTGCTTGGACGAGATCTACTCCTTCGGTGCCATAAAGCGGCTCTGCGCTCGACACATGAAAAAACTCCAACAAGAACAGCACCGACTTGAGGCAAGTTTTTCTCTCTCTTTTTGCTCGTGGTTACCGGTTTTTTGCGTTCTTGTAATCACCGAATTGGGCCCATCTGGTGTCTCAGCTCGTGCATTACAAGCACAGGTCGATTACGTGATAACTGTGTCATGGTGGCTGATTTTTGCTTGTTTTTGTTGTCATAGGAGATCGAGAATGCCAAGATGGCCGAGTTGAACCGTGAGTACACAAGCTTCATCAGTGCCAAGAAGAAGTCGGTGTGTCGAATGCAGGAGCAGCACGAGAACGACCTGGATCGCGAGCTGAAGCGCAGCGCCGACGAGGAGGCGCGGTACGCACGCCAGCTGGAGATGGACGCCAAGGAGCAGCTCAAGAGCGCCCGCAAGAGCCGCATGCGACCCAAGAGCATGGCGATTGGCGGCGGTAGCGGCTCGCCTTACAACGATATGCACGCAGCCCAACCTGAGCTCGACCTGATGTACAAGAAAATCCAGTCCTCGAACAACCTGAAGCTGTGCCAGTGGAAGTACCAGATGCTGTGCCATCGGTACGGTATTCAGGTAAGCTAGCCACCCACCTCTTATCTTGCCGTAGCCAAAAGTTCGGTGTGAGAAATGCAATTGCTCTTAACGTGGATACTGCCCCTTCGATACACTTGGAGTAGTGCTTGTTGTGTTTTGCCCGGCATCCCAGATTCTTTGTCAGACGCTAGACAAGGCTGGACCTGGTGGATCACAGATGAGGCCGTCAATAAAGTGCCGTTGGCGACTTACCCACCGAAGTGGCATGGTTAGGGGGATTGTGTTTTCAATGGCCTAGATCCACACGTACGACAAGCTAGACCACCTCTCGTTTGATCCACGCGCTGTTGAAGCAATCATCGCAGAGATCTTACTAAATTCACACTTCCCCAGTATCGGAAACTGTTTTAATGTGCTAATCTGGCTGATTGCGTTCGTGTCATTTTCATGCCATGAGTGTTTGCTCGTACACCTGGTTCATAATCCAAGTGAATTATTTCTCGACACCAGCGGCCTCCCGGTAGAAAACCAAGAAAATGGCAAATATCTTACGTGCTTCCAACACACTCGGTGTCAACTGTCTCCTTTTGCTATCACACAGATGTGATACCTTCATGTCGTGTTGGCTTTGTGGCGTCTAAACCCATCTTCCAGGATCTAGTATCGTTGAGCGGGCTTTCTATTGGCTACCTGTGTGACTACACTCAACCCGTGTGTGGGTGTGTGTCTTGGTTTTTAGAGGAAGCAATTCGAGGAACGCAAGAAGTTGGAAAATCAGGTTCTCGATCAGAAGTCCTCGATGCTGCTGAACCACCACACACAAGTGGAGACGATCGAGTTGGCCAATCAGCGTGCCAAGCACCAGCTGCAAAACCGCCACCTAGAGGAGAAGTGTGCCTTCTTTGACGCCGAACAGAAGCGATTCGAGGCTCTGCAGTTTGCTGAATTCGAGAAGGAGGCACGCAACCGCCGCAAGATGCTCAGCAAGGAGCTTAAGGTGAGCCAGATGAGTCGGTGGGTAGTCATCATAAGAGGGCTTCACTTGAGAACTCTCATCATAGCCATCATCTCCCTCCTCCCCCTCCTCCTCATTTTCTTCTCACTTCTAGCACTACGAGGAAGGTCTGCGACCGCAGAACAAGGTGACTGGGTGGTTCCTTAATCGCAGGAAGGGCTCCTCTTGTTCACCGATCGATAAAAGCAAGTCCCAGAACTTCCCGTTTCCGCCTTCACTCGACGCCAAGCAATCATTGGAGGAGTTTCGGCAGCAACGATTCGTGAGTATTGTGCCTTGGAATCCCGATTACTGGGTGGTTGTTTTGGTGCTCGCCATGTGCGTATGTGTGTCATCGTTTTAGGACTCACTCGAAGAGGAGTTGACCCGGGATCGTGAGAAGTTGGATGAGAAGATGCGCCAGTTGCGTGAGCAAATGCACAACTACCAGGATCGTCTGGCCCGCGATTTTCGGGCGCAGCGCGATCAAGAAGTGGCCGAACTCCGCAATCGCATCGATCTGCGCGCTGAGAAGCTTGAGGAGGCCGTAAGTTGCGTGTGGTTTTTTCTGTGTCGTAAAGTCGTCCTTTGGCGTTAAGACTGTAAAATCCCTCTTTCTGTTTAGATCGAGAAGAACAAGAAAACGGTCATGGAGGACCACAGCCAGGAGGAACGTAAGCTCGGTATTGATTTTGCAAGGCACCAACGCCAACTGGAGAACGAGTGCCAGTTCCTGGGTGTCGACTTCCAGGCCGTTCGAATGTCGGTAGATCCGAACTCAGCCGTCCGAACAAGCTACCATTTCGCATCCTAGTCTTTCTGTACATGGATCTCTTCCTCACTCCCCTGCTACTGCTGCAATTAGCCCCTCGTCCCGCCCCCGCCGCCGCCGCCACATCCAATCTGTTCCCCATTTTCGCCTCTCACCCCCCTCAACCTCCCGAACCAACCCCCTCCCCGCCCGCTGACTTCATCTTCGCCACCCACACCCGCTCAACGGCAACATTGTACTAATTTGATAGTTTCTACCTTTGTGTGCTCCTTGGACGCTGTTGCCAAGAACAGTCCTGATTCAGTAGCTGTGTTTGCACTCGTGCTTTGCTCCGTATTGTACAAAAAAACTTTCTCTATTTGCCTCATTTCTCGCTCCTTCCTCGTAGTGGTGTGCGGTCGGTAAGTGTCCGCTATCGTTGAATACATGTCTAATGTTCGGTGAATGACAGTGATACTTCGAAATCAAACAACTTGGGTTTTCCTTGTGCGTCAGGATAGAGGTAGCTGTTCAAATGGAAAAAAAAATTTGCGAGATTGGAAGATTGTTCTGGGATTGGTTGAAAGGCTGAGCCAATTGTGAAGTCGCGTTGATGGTGATCCAAAGATAATACCTCAGCATTTTAGTAATCAACGAAATAATGTATGTTCAAGTTATGGCGTGCCTGTATCAGATTTCACCGAATTGATGTGCCAATGTTGGTAAACAATAGTGAAAATTTACCTTTTGTGGGATTTAGTGTCTTGAGCCTTGTCCCGAATTGCGCTTATAGTGTGAAGATACGACTTTCAATATATAAAAATCCTCGTTAATCTGGGAATACATGCTTGATCCCATAATTAGGCCAAATAAAATAACACCAAATTGCATTTTATGAAAATACAGGACAGTTAGCATAGTTTTTTAAGGTAGGATAGTTGTGAGTTAATTGGGTTGAATATGAATTCCCGGAAAAATTACATGATCAAGAAATATCTGGAAGTTCGCAATTTAACAGCTTGAGCTTACAGTGATGTGCAAACGCACTTACTTGAAGATGGCATGACAATTATCAAGACATAATGCAATGGCTTAATGTACTGGAAACAAAGAAGACTTACCAGACCAATTACAAACAAATGTATTCGAGTTTAGCCATTGCCATTGGTCGGACATGGAATTTCATTTCCACAGGGCCTGGTACTGCATTGTCATTAGAATGATGACATTTTCGCCCAAAAAATTTCACGTTTGTCAAAAAAATATAAAATAATTGGACACCTATGAATTCGAAACATCAAATAAGCATCGATTTGTACGTTGATGTCATTCTTTGTTTAGTTAACAAAGGCTAGTGTATTCAAACTCAATTAACATGGTGCATTCGCTATAATTTGTGACTACGTTTAAATCGGATGCGGAAAGGTATTTAGCGCCATTATTATATGCTTAAGTATGTGGTCAGTGAAAGACATCGATATTGTGTGGCTATGTGAGAAGCTTTTAGTGACAATATTTCATGACTGCACAGATTAGGCCACAAAGGCAAGCTAATTACACCATCATAACATTAATTATTAATATTACCCCACGACTATAGGCAGTCAATCTTGATTGAATCCATTTGAAATACAGATATAAAAATTGAAGCAAGTAGCTGTTCTGAAAAACACTAGTAAATGTTCACCATGATCACATGACTAAATTTGAGTATTTCGAGAATAAGAGCCTGTAGAAGCAAAATAAATGTATTTATTGCTGTCAATAATGAAGGATGCGTTTATCTAGGGTATTTGCTTATGCGGCATGTAAGTGCAATACAACTTATTCCGTATTATCATAGTCTGTGTTAGTACCCGATAAATTTCCCCAAAATCAGAATTAAGAGATAAATTTGTGTGCTAGAGACAGTTAACTGATTTCCATAAAAAAACATCGAAAATTATAATAGCATTTTGATTAAAAATTTTGTCGAAAACCTAATCTTGTTTAATTAATTATTTCAACATTCTCCTTCCAATTAAGCTATTCGGAATGCTGCTTGATTAATGGGGTTATGAATTTATTAATTTAAATTCAGTGGTATTGCTTACTAGTTGATAGCCCTTAAATGTTTAATAAACGAAAGCTATTGTTAATTTTGCTCAAATTACCTGATGATGAAAGGCCTAATAACGCACAGCCTCAATGATTTATATATTGTTTTAATCATTTCCTTGCATTCGGTGGTGCTTTAACGTTTTGAGGTTTGCTTTTTCAACGGAATTTGTCAAAATCAGCCTAGGTCAAATTGACAAAGAATGATGGATGTTTTGGATGCTTTTGACTCAGAAATTGGGTCCAAAACCTTTAACAGCTTTACAAGTTTGCAAGAATTATTGTCAGAATTCAGCCGAGTACGTTTTCTTTTTCGCCTTAATGCGATATTCCCAGTAATTACTTTTGAATTCGGTATGTACCACTCCATTTCAATTGTTTTATTTTGTTGATGTAGTTGTCTCAGACTTCCTAATCATGCATTTTGAGCAATCAGCAAGTTGACTATGCGATTTTAAATCAACCAGAATGTCATTCTGCTTTGCTCTGGGGATTGCTGATATTTGATCAAGACCGAGTATGTAAAAAAGGAAGCTTTTTAACATCAAATTATGTCTGTTAAAATTACAGTTAAGCAAATCCTAATGTAGGAGTTGCCTCTGAATTTGCACTCCCACCCAGCATTACCTTCAGTACTTCTTATTTTAAGGCAAGCAGGTCATCACAGTTTTCCCTCTTCGAAATCTTGACATTAAGAAACAGTTGTTCACATCTCGTAAATTTTTAAGCAGATTCCAATTGCGCCTCTAAAATGCCGAAGTAAATATTTCGTAATAAAGTTATTTTTTCCATTATGTTGAATTTAGATCTAAAGTTACTACTTTTGACAAAAAATGTTTGATGTCCCTACTACGCCTCTCAAATGCGTGATTAATTTTGCAATTTTTTTATCTGCGGTGAGTAGGAGGACAAAATCTAGAGAATTGCATTTAAATCTAGCGTATTTCGTGTTTCGTAGTAAAATTGTTTGCATTATCGCGGGTGCGTGAAGGAAATTTCCTTTAGCTAAATGTAAACGATGCAGTTTAATTTTCCTATCACAGCTGTTAGAGAGTTATGTCTGGAGCTAATGTTGTTGATATTCTTTCTCTTGTTTCACTTTAAACTCAGCAATTCTGTTACTGCATCGTTATCGTTCCTGCCTGATTCCAACCCGTAACTCTACCGTTTGAACCCTATAGAATTACGGCGTCAAATACAAAGTCTCAAACTCCCTGCGCTACAACGAGGGTGACCCGCGTAAAGGGACACTGGTTTACGCAATGGCAGTTTTCTCCTGTGTATTGAAGCGAGCCCGTCACTGCCCTTCTTTCTTTCGTATTGAAGTCAGAAAGGGCAGTCTGCACGTTGTGGAAAGGGAAATGGAGCATAACCACGGCAAAATCGCTGGCGATCCCGAACCAGGTAATTGCATTTCCTTGCCGTCCCTCTTCTAGCCCTCCGTCTCTCTCAGTGGTGGACCTGACGAAGCAGTTCGAAGCCTACTTTGGAAATGTCAAACTCAAGTCCTTCTCAGAGGTCATGACGAAGGTCAAGGCGTTCGAAGAAGCCACCGGCAGCGAGTTCCGAGTCGGTCGATCCGACCTCTTCAAAGAGGGCGAAAAAGAACGCGAAGTGTACCGCTACCGACGCATCACCTACGAGTGTGTGCACTACGGCATGCGAAAGAGTTTTGCCAAATTCAGCTCAGAGACGAGGTAAGCCGACATCCAACACCTCACCCTAGGGTTAAGGTCCTCTCGCCTCGGTTGCATGGCCAAATTCGACGTTCGCTACGCGCCAGACGGCTTCAAGATAAGCGCTGTCGTGATGAAGCACAACCATGACGTCTCAACGGCACTGGCACGATTCTACCGACGGAAAACGACCCAATACCACCACAGACGGTGTCTGGACGCCTCCAAGGAGCTCAGTGAACAGGAGAGCAGCGCCGACCGCCTACACGAATCGGGTGATTCCAATTTTGATAAACCGTAGGTTTCTCGCACACCGTGTCCAGTTGTGTTTTCAAAAATCATTAATTCCATGCTCTTTCCCTACTGTAGCACCGATGGCCAAAGCGTGTCTCAGAGGTAGGTTTCGACGTCAATACACGTGTTGCAACTTGTTACATCCCACAAAAGATTGCTTTTCTTTTTTTTTCTAAATTCAGCGACAATGGCGAACCAAATGAGAACTGTGAGCCCACAATCCGAACGTAAGTTGCCGCCTCAAGCTTCCTTGTGCTTGGTGCTTAATAATTAGACCTTTTTTGCCATTGCCGCACTCACTAATGTCTCTTGGGTCGTTGCAGAGAAAGCGAGCAACCACAGGCCAAAGAAACCCACCTGTAAGTTTATTTCCGCCCGCGTAGCGCAGTTTTACCTACCTTTGATGAGTGTGATTGGTGTTGTGTCGTTCTAGCAGCAACGAGGGCCCCCAACTCACAGTGTCTACTCCGAACAACCCGCCCAACTACACACCCCCACCCACGACTCCTCGCGGCCGCAGGAAAACCAATCAGAGCGCCCCAAAAGAGGCCTTAAAAACTCCTGTTGCTCCACAGCCCTATTGGGTCATCAACCCGGCCAGTAAGGCTCCGAAATGCTGTTCCAACTGTGGCTTGATCTCTGACCTTGAAATCGTCATTTTCTCCTTGTTCTGTAGCCCTGCTCACGAGTAGCCTGCCTCCAGGATTGTCCGCGGCACCAGGAGACGGTGTGCGAGATCTGACGCCGTCGGAACGTCGACTCCTACTCTCGGGAAAGATGCAGCGCGTCTTGGACAAGGCCTGTCACGGTGGCACCGAGCGCTACAACGAGTGCTGCCGGCTCCTCGACAATCTGGAAAGGCTCTGGGCCAAGGAGGACTCTATGGTTTGAGGTGGTGGTGGTGGTGGTGGCAATGGCATTTGCCTCCTCTCCGTCCGTCCACCCACCAATCACAGCTCCCGTGTACAAAGTTGTTCGTCTTCGCCGCTGCCTAGTCACTCACAGTCTTTCATTTTATCCAACTTGATAACCCCGCTGTAAATATATGTTCGTGACTCAGGCCACCGCGACTCTATTGCTGTATCCGTTAAATAAAGAAATCATCGCGAATTGATTTCTACCCACGATGTCGGCAAAAGTGCTACTGAAATGTTATCTGTACAGTTAATTATTTAAGAGGTTGAGGAGTTGCTTTTTCCCACCATCACCTAGGCACTTTTGTGGTAGCCCACCTCGAATACCAGTAAATACAGTCTCGGCTTTGACCTGGAAGGGGTGGGGCATGTTGAGTCCAGTTGAAGCAAAAGTTAATTCTGCTTCCTTACTCCAGCCACCTGAGTTTCATCAGTGCTTGTTAACCGTTTCCGCCACTGAGAGGACCGTAAAACCTCTCGTAGGTCGTTCGCTAGTTCCACATGCCCTGTTCTCCAAGTCAGGTGATTATTTAAAAACCTCTAAGGACACGGGTAGAATTTTTAAAGGCGCCATTCTGTCGTTCTGCTTGGATTACTTCAACCCTAGCGGTATCTGTGATGTAGGCAACGGGAATTACTTCGAGTCAGGTTCGCCTTCACGCGTAATGCCACACAGCCAATCACCAGATGTTAATCTCGTGTTCAAGGTCACGTGGTGGCATCGATTTGAGGCACATCGATTGGGTGTGATTTGAAGGGCCTAGCCTCGCCGTGTGTGTAGCTGTTTGAGCCGTTAAAATTAAACATGCCCTGCCTTGTTTTAATTCGCGTCCGAATTCAGGACCTCTACACCCTACGAAATGCCATCTACAAGGCTCGCAGCGTACTGGAAAAGGGCTACAAGGGTCTCTACATTGGGATTTCAAACGACGTAAGACGCCTCTTGCTAAAACACGTGCCCCATTCTAGGCCGAACGCGTTCCTCCCTGTGAGAGTCAGCCCCTCCTCAACCTCGGATTGGGCCTTTTCTACTTCTCCGACGAGGCCGACGCTAAACGCTTCATCTACAGCGACCAGGGCTTCATGGAAACCGACTTTCTGGAAAACTCCGACATCATGATCATTCCACTGCTGAAACCGTTGCAAATTGGAGCCTGTGAGTTTGTTTTCGCCTGCATAACATCTGCTAATTGTTAAAATCTACTAGGCATCATTAGTGTCAAATTAGCGCGAACTCAGACTGCTTATGTAGCACCTTTGATTGGTTGACTTAATGAGCGTGCAAAGCGTGACTACTTTGGTGTGTGGCTTGGTAATTTCGCTTGCCTTGGGGGCGTTACACTGCGGACTGCAGATCCAATTAGTCGTAATGACTGCTACCCACGGAAGTAGATTAGTCGAAGAAGTATTTGGATGGAGAAAGGCTAGCTTAAAAGTGTGTCCGTTGTGTGTTGGTGTGCATTAATCCATTAAGTGCGTAATTTCTGCCTCGCCGCCTGTCAGCTGTCGCTACCTTTCTGTGTCACATTAACCAAGTGCTTGCAGTGTGTGTGTGTTTGTGTGTGAACGAACACTACCACTTAGTTTGCCACAACTAATGCATTCCTGCTCTTACTCAACCCCCTCAAGACTGCATCATTTGTTAATTACCTCGAAACTGATGTTGTAAAACCCCACCCCCTCCCCTACCCCCCACAACACTCTTTTTTCCACTCCTTTGTCTAAGTTGGAACAGCCCTGCTCTTCACGGAGTTAATCAGAAGCGAGAACTACGTCCAACTGCCACCGTCGTCGATCACATTCGACATGGAGAAGTGCGGTGCTGTGCCCAACATCGCCGACACTATCCACATAAACATGGTGCGTGCTTACGAAGCCAAACCAGGCGGCTTCAGGATATCTCAGTTCCCTAACAAGAAGATCTTCTATGATTGGGTTAAATCTGGTGAGTTGTGCTCGCTAGCCAGCCTAACACCCCTCGCATTAGCTTTACTCGCTCTACTGTGGCTCTCCCTTCTAGAATGTGGTGCCCGCTTTCGTGAGGACATGTCCAAAGTCCGAAGCATGAACACGTACATCGCCACATTTGCACGTGATCTCTTCTAATCACGTAGAAGCCACGTGAGGCTTAATTATGAATAAAAATTAACCCTCTGCATGGAGTCTCCTGGATTGAAAATTCAGCGCAGTTAATTTTAACAACGTTTTTGCCTTGTTTTCACTAGGTTCTCTCTCCCTCTCTCTTTGTGTGAGTGTGTTTTTAGTTGTGCAGTAAGACTGGCTCAGTTTCATTCGGTTTTTGCTTGAAGATAGTGGAACGAACTCTGGTAGCAGAATGCACAGGTAAAATTGTGAAACACTGTGCTAGGGACAATGTGATTGGTCCATTTGTAGCCATGCGCCATTGGTCAACGTGCCAATGTTCTTTCGATAATTCCGTCTTTCCACACAATCCATCCACGATGAAGTGATATTTAAACAGTAATGCCTGCCTTCGCTCATTATCGGCTCATTGATTACAAATGGGACGCTGTGCGAGTGAACAACACCAGCAGACAATTTGATTGGTCCTTTTGTTGCCGCACATGATTGGTCAACAAGACCATGTGCTCCGGATAACACGCGCAACAAATGAATTGTCACATTGGCTAGTAAACTGACCTTCAACACAATCTTTTGAAGGTGAAGTTATGCTCAAACAGTATTGACAGCCTACTTTTATGTTCGGAGTACAGATAACTCGCGCTGAATCGAAGATCAGTAGATTTTATTAGTAGTTGTCCTAAGCGATAAATATTGCGCCAATAAGTAGAGAAAACAATTGATGTATACAAAAAATGCAGTCACTTGCCTTTGTTGGAGACTTTGGACAGAGTTCTGGTAAAACCAGTATAGTAGAAGAAGGGGTTAATTGGAAATAACACGTCAAATGTTATAAAGGTTGTTCCGTGGCTTGAATTGCATCGATTTCGAGTCAATTTCAACTTGTTTGGGAAAGACCAGGGGGTGTTAGTAGTCCGACGATGCTCATTGGATGTGTGTGTGCGTGCAGAATGAGCCCCAATTTAGCCATATTAACTCCGCCAATAGGAAGCGTCCTTGCCACCTAACTGCAAGCGCATTAAAACAACTCCAAAAGCGTGCAAGGTGATAGCAAAGATTACAACCGGAATTTCGCTCAGTTTAGCTATATTGCTTTCTGGTCAACTGCCGAAAAGCATTTGTAGGCGCCTTTAACAAGGCGGCTTAGAGAAAATACCTCAAGGCCAATTAGGTGGGAAAACAAGTGTTTTCAAACACCAAATTGCGTTTTTGACAGGGCATTCACCAATTAGGTGGCTGCACAGGAGTCAGTTCTAAAGAAAAAGCGGAGAGTGACGTTGGGGAATTTTTTAAAAGGAGCCGCGTTTCCACCCACAATGCCTTAGAAGTAACAAGAAAAGCAACTTATTTGCAGCATTTAAACAGCATAAAATCAGACTTAAACATCTGACTTTAAAAAAAATCCGCCAGCTATAATAACATCGATTTTGGCTTCTTTGGGCTACCTTGACAACCACGTAGATTGATTGGGCACTCAAAGTAGGCCTGAGCCAATGATATTTCAACAATCGATAAGTCAACAAATACAGTGAAATTATGTGTCTGACGACGAAAATTCACTCATGATATCATGGTATGAGTTTAATTTTGCCATTTGCATCAACAATGCAAGACCCATCACATGGTAAGCTATGTCTGAAGCCCACACATTAGCACACACTTCCAATTGCATTCAGACTGCTCCACGAACATGATTTCAACTAAATTATAGTCAGTTCTGTCCTCTGTAATT